AAGAAAAGAAAAGAAAAGAAAAAGAAATAGAGTTATTGCTCAGTATCTTTTTGTTTTCTAATTTATTCCTAATCTTTCATTTATTATATAACCTATTTATTTTAACTACTGAGTTTATCACTTGTGTTTCTCTTTTATCTAAAGCTTTTGTATTTTATAGTGCATTATTTTAAATTAATTTTTACATTTCCTATCTAATTTCTTTTATGATTTTCATAATGTCTACTTTTTTTACTTCAATAAGAACATCATGTGAAGTATTCTGTATTTATTTTCCCTCCTCTTGTTGCTCTCTGATGACTTCTTCCTTCACACAGGTTGTCTTTCACAGAATTTTATATTTCATCTGAGTTTGTTGGAGTCACGATGGAGTTGGGTTGGAGACAATCTGTCAGAAAGGGCATCTTTTGCTTTTGCCAGAGCTAGAAGGGTGAATGTTTATTTATCCACATCTTGAATTTTGTATAAAGGACTTCCAAGTTAATACTCTCTTGAGCTCTTACAAAAATAATCTCCATACAGCTATAAATGATATAACAGTGTTAGAAAAAGAGCTAAAACGCAGAGCCCATTTAAGATCATGATTTGAAGCTGGTAGATCAGACAATAGGAGCCACTTTCTGGTCCTCGAGCGTCTCTGGGGCCAATTAGTGGTTAAATAAATTGAAGTGGTGTAACTTTCTATAGGTAAACAGTTATGGCTGCTATAAAAAACAGCCTCGCATCTGGTTACAGGGGTCATGTTTATGTTTTGCTTTTAGTGGACGACAACTGCTGCTCTCTTCTTTATTTCTCAATCCCATCTTAGATGACATAGACAAAAGGTGGAATGAATTTTCCCTGAGTAAAATATTCCACGAAATCAGATCCAGCGTTATATCTGCCCTTGCTACATTTTTCCTATTTTTCATCTCAGTTTTATATGTTGGGGCTCCAACAGTTTAGATATGGCCTAAATACATCTCCCTAAAGTTCATATGTGGGAAACTCATTTCCCCGGGGTTGCAGTGTTGGGAAGCTGTGGAACATTTAGAGTTGGGGCTTAGTGCACAGCAATGTGGTTTCTGCTCTCTGCATGACTGACCCGATCTCGCCGAGTTGTTCCTGTAAGAAGGAGTAATTATGAAAAAGCCAAATCCTCATTGCTTTCCTGTCTTACTGTGCCATCTCTCCCTCTGACATATATTTCCTTTGTTGTGAGATCATGTACCATGAGGTAGGGGCTCAGTGCCTAGAGTCAAAACTGTGAAGTACCTCTCTCCTTTAGACATTTCCATGCCTCTGGTATTTTGTTAGAATAACAAGGAATGGGCTAATGCAGATTGAACTAATAGATTGCCTCTACCCTAAACTCAAAATAATAATAGAAAACATAAGCCTAAAACATACAGTCCTTGCAGATAACTTTTATCAAGTCCTACACATATATCCCCTCACCCGTTCACAATTATGAATACACACACATACATACACACACACAAGGCACAGAGGGAAGAAAATTTTTAAACTATGCATTCATTTCCTTCAAGGCAATATAGGCTAAGAGAAATTCAATTTTTACTTATGTCTGAATATTTATACTTTTGTTTCAGTCATCTCATAGGTCATCCTAGATTATATAGTAACCAGTTTGTTATAAAAAAAATCTCAGTGCTCATCATTTAAAAAATTTCTTTTCCTTATCTGGTGTTCACTGACCCTCTTAGAGCACTAACTCTGATCACTGTCTATGAATGTGAATCAGAATTAATCCATCTTAGATTTGACAAATTCTCATCAAATGGCTCTTGTCCACTGAATGTGATCTTCAGAGTATGCATTCCAAGGCCCACAGTGGTATCCAAAACTGTAATTAGTACCCAACCTTATATATTCTGTCTTTTGATATACACACATACTTATGATAAAGTTTGAAAATAAATTAGGCATGATGAAATATTAATAGAAAAAGCTAAAATAATATAGTTATCAATAAACTCTAATAAAATGTTGTGTTTGGGGCTATTTCTTAGTAAGGGTTATATGAGAACAAGCTCTATAATACTACAATAGTTGCTCTGATAACCAAGACTGTAGCACTAACTGGCAGGCGGTGTATACAGTGCAGATGTGCTGGACAGAAGGATGTTAGTTCACATCTGAGCAAGATGGAGCAGGACAGTGTGAGAACTTACACACTGTTATAACACCATGCAATTTAACATTATAAATTCTTTATTGTTGGAAATTTCCATTTAATAGTTTTTGACTACAGTTGACAATTGTTAACTGAAATCACTGAAAGTAAAAACCACAGATAAGGAGGAACTACTGTAGCATGTAACTTGTGTTGAGAAACAGATAATTCTTGAAGGCTGAGTGCAATTGCTTGCAAAAAGCAATTTATGATCTGTTTTTAGGTGTCATCACTAAGTGCAATTTCTTAGTTTTGTTTTTTTACACATTTTGCTTGAGGTGAGTAATCACTCCTTGTTTCCTTTTTCAAAAAGCCCTGATCTAGATGGGGGAAAATGTAGAAATAAGCTTTTTAATGCCTTTAGGTGATTGCTATAAATAAACCTGATGACAACTACAAATCCTCTGCTCAAAAAATGCACAGAGACATGGAATTTTACATATAATTTCAGAAAATCCATGGACAACTTAAGACCTGGACATGGACTCCAAGTGATGATTTCCTGAACTAGATATGAAGGCATAATTAAGCGGAAAAATGGACTAGTAATAATGCCACTTATGGAGGGATGCATCCTACATATTACCCATATAGACTGTGCAGTTGGATATACTCTGATTTAAATATATAAAGCATTTTAAAGGTCAATATAACACACATTTTTGACACATGCTGTATGGAAATATTTTACTATTAATTGAAATATTTTCTTAATCTAAAATTAACATTATGTTACTAGAAATAAAACTTAAAAGATGATTATGATAGAGGATTTTAATAGTAATAAAGCAAAACTTTTCATTTACCTGTGTAGTTTTATTAGTTTACTGCTATGGTTAAGCCATTTAAAATGCTTGAGTACATTTCTAGTGAGTACATTTTCTGGGCATTGTTGCCTTATGGCATTTTTTTTCTGACGCCACCCCCCCCAAAAGCTTTAGGAAACATTTTCATTTCATACAACACCTGACATTTTATTGGTTAGAGTTCTATAAAAAAGCATGGTGTAGAGATTATTAGTTACCCACGTATGTATGGGTAGTATTATCACTACTCTTATGTTACATTTGTGAAACAGGCTCTTCTTTGTTAGTACTACAGAGAATTCTAAGTGTTGCCACAACAAGTTTACTATTGTGTAATCACATGAAGACACTGATGTCCAAGCATTACAATATATTGTAACGTTATTTTGCTTATTCTAATAATTTGCAAGCAATTGTAATAAGTCCACACTTAGGCTAATGCTGGGAATGACTAAATGTCTTGTGGTCTGACTAGAAAGAACAATAAACTTGTTCCTTTTCTGATAATTCTTGAAAATGAATGTCTTAACAAAAGAAATACTCTGACTGAAAATACTGAACCACAGTGAACATCAATTTAGGATGTTGTAGTTTTGGGATTTTGTTTATTAATTTTTCCTGAGTTCTATAGAATGAATATCTAAGTTCATTCACATAAATAAACTTCCCCTAGACTTATTACTCTATTATAGAACATATTCAACTGGAATAAAAGTTTTTCAACTTTTTCCCTGTATTGTTTAGGGTTTCTACATTAACACTGTTCTAGAATGAAGTCCAGGAAGTGCATTAGATTAAATGTACTTATATTAACTGGAACCTGAAAGGAACATTAAGGCAAATCTCAGATATATTGTTAATTTTTCAGCTAATCATACCAAAATTGAAAGTAATATATACACTTAAATAATGGTCTATAAATATTTTCAATAGGTAAAATGTGAAAATTTGGAATTTTAATATGACATTGATATGGAAGAAAAGAGAGCTGTAAAAATAGGCAGAGGAATATGCAATTCAACAAAGTTCAAATGCATATGCAAGTTTTATAACTCAGTAAAAGAGATACTCATGTATAGATCACTATGAAACCCATTACAGAAAGTAGCAAATGCTGTGAAAGTTCAGATGAGAGCTCACATATACAACATCAAAGGAGGTTTAGTAAAGTTCATGATACTTGAGCCAAGCTTTAAAGGAGGGATGATATTTGGTCAATTGATATGAAAAGTACATTGAAAACAATACTGTGAATCAATCAAGGAACAGATGTACAGATACTAGGATTTTTGTGAATTAATGGGACATTTGTAGTTAGTTACAAGAAATAATGAGACATGAAAGTAAACAAGCTGAGATTATTACACAGAACATCTTGGGTCAGAGATACATGGAATGGATTTCATCCCACATATAGTCAGTGAAGGGTCGTGTAATGATTATTAAGGAGGTGTGTCATGTTCCAAGTCAGCCTTGCTACCACAAGAAAGGCCAGAAGCAAAGTGATTTCTCTTTCCTTAGATGTGTTTCCCACCCTATTCTCTATATTATCTCTTGGAATAGAACATTGGTTTGAAACCAAGCAGTGCACAGAAACGTAACACATATATCAATTAGCTTTTCATTTTAAAATTGAAGTCATAAATGTATAGCACTTGAAGTTATATTAAATGACATCAGCTTTTTCCCCCATAGAAAATGTAAAAGATTTTACTAAACTCAACACACTAAAAAAGGCGTTAGGAAACAACTTGCGGTAGTGAGTAAGTTTAAAAACACAAATATTTAGTAACAGGGATGTGGTGAAACTTTCAAGAAGCTACGTAGTTAAAAAAACAAAATCAGTGTTGTTTACTACTTGTCTGGCATAAATCATTTTCAGGCCTGGGTAAGAAGTCTAAAATACATTCTGAGTCTCTAAATATATAAGAACTTCAAGATATAGAGTTACCCGAAGAGTACACATATTTACGCAAGTAAAATATCTTTGGTTTCATAATTTTAAAATGAACTCTTACCTCGCACAACAAGGTCAGCAGACGCTGAAGAATTGTCCACAATGGTCTGGGCTGTGCAAGTGTATCTTCCTGCATGTCGAAGCTGTGCGTTTCGGATGAGTAGTTCCCCGTTGGCATCCAACTGTGAGCAAAGACAGCAACCATTTCAATTATACATTTCATTTCAGCAATTAGACGGGCATTTAGGATATGAAGTGGACATCATTTTCCTTCTCAGAATGAATACAATTTAAAAGCATCTGTTTCAAATATGTTAACTCTGTGTCCTTGGTTAATTTACATTTGAGGCTGAGTTTCTCTGGTGCAAAATGAAATAATGTGAATTAATAACATAAGACTCTTTTCACTCTTACTGTGTTTAACTTTCTATCATTCCCATGAACAGAAGGCTATATTGTGAGGAAACCATGTGATGATACTCTTTTTTGACATCTGTTAAAGGACAATGTTAAGAACTAATAGTCTTAACACTAAATGTTAATTTGGGTAAATATGAGATACATATATGGCTGAGAAGAATTGCTAATTTGGTTTATGCAAAGCTACATTGACTAATTTTGTGATGTGCCACAGTTTGTTTTACAATGATACTAAAAGTTTACAGAAATTGTCAAAATGAACACTTCCATTCACACGTACTTTGCCACCAAAACACAAATCACATGAGGAGGGTTTCTGTCTTGTTCAGCACTTTATTTCTATGTTCCTAAGAGTGTTAATGCGTATTTTTGTAGAAGGCTTGAGTAAATTTATGGTAAGGCACCAAGTCAATTTAATTTCTAAAAAGAGGTAATATTTATTGAATTCCTTTTCTGCTTCAGATCTGGGCTATGCATATATAATCACATTCAATTCTCTTCTGACAACAGACTTCTGAGATAGGTCTCACCATGTCTATTTTGCTGACAAAAAAGAGATTTAGAATACCCAAGTTTAACATTCCTGCCTGACACATTCTTCTCTAGTCACTGTGGCTTTATGTTATAATCTAATATTCTTTTTTCTTAATGAAACAGTTATTCTGCTCCTATATTCTTAGTTTGAAATATAGTGCTGTTTATATATTTACATATTTTATTTTCATGAAAATGATGTGATCTTCCCTTTTTATTTGTCACATGTAATATAAAACACAAAATATTGTATGATTGAAAATATTATGTCAAATTTATACGTTTGGACACTTCATATTAAATTCTTACAACATTTATTTAAGCTGTTCCAAAAGTTTAATGCTAAAGTCATTTAAAAATCAGCTGTCTTGAATATTAGGCCTTAGTTAGCCAGTGATAGGCTAATTTATATACAACAATAATAAGTGATTTCAACATTTATTCTCATTTGTTCTATGCTTGGTAAAGGTGTGGGGCTGAAACCTCTCGGAGGCAAAGTGAATACAAAATATACCATGCTATTTCCAGTAGAGCTGCGCACGTATAATAGCTTTCCTGATGGTTTTGTAAAAGCTGCTAGTGCTTTCTGTACCTCGGAAGATGTTGAGGTTCTCAGCAGAATGCTTACAAAGCAAGTAAAGATCATGAGCCTCAGCAAATTTTAGCCACAAATTAGATGCAAATGCTCTCTCTATGTTCACTAAAAACCACAACTTGGCTAAATTACAAAATGCTTCCCTTCATGTGAGGAGAGTTGAATCACATACTGGAAATTGTGATAGCAAAGCTCAGGGATATTGCAAAGTGTATATGTGGTTGACCACTTAGAAATTTCTGAAGTTTAAATTTAAAGACTTCCAACATATACATACCCACTTCCTTCCCCCACCATACACTAACTATAAAATAACTACTGTGATACAAATGAGTCAGATTATTACCATGGACACATTGAATTAGTCATAATAAGCAAATAAATGTGCTATATGGTAACTACAATGTCTAGATAAAAGTTAGAACGCTATACATTTAAAACCAGCTGTTTGATGCCACTGAAGTTGGCAGAGGGATGTCTATGAACTTCAGATACAGAAGGCTGAAGGAAAAGAATATCTTTGAAAGTTTATTTTATAAACATAAGCAAAATTATTAAATATATCTGATAAATTCTATACCCATGAAAGAATAAATAATTTCTTCTTTACTTTTGGCATGTTGAATAACAATAACAAGTGAATTATGTGCTGCAAATATTAACATTACCACCACTAACTCTACCAACAGCAAATATTTAACAAGCATTAATTATGTTTCAAAGGCTGTTGTAAATACATGTAAAAATATGCTTGTTCTTAACAATAGCCCTATGAAAGATGTACTCTTTCTAACTGCAAACAGAGATATATCACTACCATAACTACACCACTACCATTGGTTCGCCCACCACTGACACTAATAACACTATTACAGCCACTGTGGCCACCTCTACTTTTGCTACTGCCACTGCTGTCACTACTGCTGAACTCCCCCATTATCTGATTTAATTTGTAGAATAAAGTTTAAATGGTTGGCAAGGTGTCAGCTATTTCACATACATTTTCTCCTTTAATTTTTGTGAAACCTATGGATTTACCATTAATATTCCCATTTTAGAGGTAAAGTATTTGGCCAGGGATTTAGCTCAGGGCTCAGCACTTGCCTGGTAAGTGTGCAGTAGTGAGTGCAACCCCTGGTACAAAAAGGAAGAAAGAAAGTGAGAAGGAGAGTTCTGTAAGTTATATATTACTGTGTTTTCAGCCAGGTCATGCTATTACCTAGATAGTGTGTTACAGATCACATAACTGTCTAAATTCATTGTTTGATAACTAGAAGTGGTGTTTATAAGTGACATATTGTTATTTTATTAAATTGTTCCTTTAAATTTTCAAACATAAGAAAGAAAGACTATTGTAGATACCCAATACCAACCTCTAGATTCAATTACTGAAAATTTTTGCCATATTTGTGTTATCTAACTGTGTAGCCAATGAGTTCCATCATTTCTTCTTTCTATTATTTTCTATCTCATGCTGAACCTTTGAAAAATAAATTATGGATATCATATCAGTACCACTTCTCAGTACCTTCTTAAGACATGAGCTAAAATCTCAAAAGAGTCATTCTCTTACATTCCCAAAACCATTTCACACGTAACGCTAATTCATATAACACATAACACTGCTTGATATACAAGTTGGTGTTATTTTAAGTAGTGTATCAATATTAAGATTACTTGACTTATAAAAAGGTTTTTCTAGGTATAAAAAATTATGAAGAAATGTCATTCAGCATAGGAAACCTCAAATAATTAAGGAGAACTTTCCAAGATAAATAATTGCTAGTGGTCATTCCATGTTTAAACAATCTTATGAAATGTTGAATATTCCTACAATCAGCTACTTTGAGTGAAAGCAATGACTAAAGAGTCCAATTTTTATCAATTGCCATATTTTAAAATGGAAAATCAGAAGTGAGGAAATTTTGTTTGAGCTGTGTCTTAATGATTTGAGTAATGAACAAAAACATGAGTGCACTGGGTTTGGAACGTGTATTTCACATTTGAAGGACAACATGTGGGTGTCATTTAATACATATGGTTTTCAAGTTAATTCCTATCAGCATCAAAGTTCTGGGACCCTTGATGGGCCACTTGTTAGGAGAAAAATAATGAGAGTTTTTAGAATACGAATAAATGAGAGGGACCTATGAATAGGGTTCTTGTCCTATGCATACACACGCGCACACACACACACACACACACACACACACACACCTACTTCTCTTTAGATCTCTAGTCAGAGCCAATCTCATCATCTTTTTACATATAAGGGTATTAATTAAATGTTCTTCAAAAAGCAATCCTACTATTAAAATCTTTGTGTTGTCATATATTGCTATGTGTTTTTAAGCTGATAGGGCCACTACCCTTCATGTGATAGATGACATGCCTGAGGCTTGGAGTGCCTGTTTGTCCAGTCATGTTACATGTTAGTAGTAATAACACCAGCAAAAGTCCAAATACTTACATACTGTTCTGTTCTTTAAAACAAACTTGAAAAATCAGTTATCAAATATGACAACTAATGACAAATCATATATTCCTAGTGTGATAAAAAATCAAAGTCCATTATTTAAAAGTATAAAATTCCTAAGACATAAAATGTTTCCGTATCTATTTTACCCTCTTGAATCGCTTTACAGTTGCATGCAAAAATGCCAGAATACGTTCTGTAGAGATGCTTAGGTAAGCAAGGAGAGCTACATAAAATGTGCTCTCAATTTTGAATTTGAAGATGTTCCTTACAGTCAATAATGCACCTCTAAAGCAAATTATGCTTGATTTACTCCATTTAATGGTGTCATCACTGAACACTTATTAAAGTACATCCCTTTAGGATGCTGGACATTCTCCTCAGATGTCATATTCCCTGCATTTGGAGACTGATAATCTTAAACAGGCCAGCTCTACTAGAGATAGGTGTACCTAGGGAATACAGATACCTCTCTTTTTGTTATTGTTGGAAAAAAAAGTACAGAAAACCCAGAGATCAAGTGTAACTAAAGTTTTACAAAGGGATTGAAAAGGAATGGGGAAGTTACTTTACTGAGTGAGGCAGGATCTGACCCTCTAACTCAATCTAGAAACCCAATCAGTTGCTGACAGGAAGACCAGAGATTGGATTCTGTCATGAGCTGAATATATTTAAGAGTTTTATTAGGGTCACAGAATTAAAACAGTGCCCCGCATAACTTTTACACATTTCTTCTTCTTTTGTACTAGTCATTAAAATTGAAGTCTTAAATTGACTATTCACATATAGTTTTATTTTCTACTACTCTTACTAATTTGGAAGATCTGTTATTTATTCAGTATCTTATAACTTATGTTCCCAATACTGTCATCCATTCAAAGAACCATTTCTCCTTTTTATTCAACATAACACATAACTTCAGAAGCAAATCCCTTTCTTTCTGAATCTCTTTTCCTTTAAATCTGCCTTGACAACATTTCTCAGGCTTGGTACAATTAATAGTTCAGACTGGATAATTCCCTGTTGCAGGGGTCTGGCCTATACATTGTAAAATTTTTAACAGCTCTTATGCTGAAAAAAATGTCCAAATAAACAACATCCCTGCAGTTGTGACAACCCAAAATATCTCCACACATAGCCTACTTTGCCATGGGAGC